TGGGATCCGGGTTCCGACAACTACCAAAAGCTGAAAGAAATCAGGCAGGCAATAGGGATCAAGCGGCTGGAAGCTATCAAGATAGAGAAAGCGCTTGCAGCAGCCAAAAACTCATCGTACGAATTGAATCGGGCTCTGCGAACATCGGCTGCTGCAAACACCAAGATCGCTGAGAGCACAAGCAAAGCTGAGAAGATCTCGAATGAAGACTATGTAGAAAAGGTAAGGCTTGATCATTATGGTTATCTCTTCCTTGTTCATTTTTAACACTTTACTTTATCAAAAAAAAAAAAAAAATTAAACTTATCTTACTCTTTCTTCCATCTTCAAAATAGATGGATCTGTTGCCTCTGGTCGTCGAGCATCTGTCTGCATGCAAAAAGGTCGTCTTCGCAGGGACAGATCCAGGCCTTGTCGTAACATCTGTGGCAATGCCAAGAACTCTCGAGGCGATCTTCTCCAACATCAACCGTTTCCAAGCTCTCGCAGACGGCTCCGAGAAAGATGACTTTGACGTCCAGAGGCTCCCAAAGTCCCACAAGATCACAGCTAGCCGCGTCAATGAGGTCACCTTTGCAAGGCGACATCAGGTCAAGCGGGAGAGAAGACGGCGGCAAGGCATAAATGATCAGAAGAAGCGTGCAAAGGAAAGCCGAGAGCGGGAGCTTCGAACGAAAAGAGCCTATGGCAAGATCGCGGCCGAAGAGCGGCGCCACATTTGGACCCACGCCAGCACTTCCAAGCATTCAAACATCGTTCATCTCTTTGGCGATTGGCGGGGGATCAATTGCGGAATCAAGGGTCACACCCGCCGAGGACTCAAGCGGATTCGAGCGGAGCATAGAGCCTTCAGCAAGGTTGCGATGACGAACGAGTTCAATACCTCGAAGACCTGCTCGTATTGCTTTTGCCGAGTTGTCCTCCACAAGGCACGCCGAGTCGTAGACGGGAAGCAGAAAGTCGTGCGGCTGAACGGCGCAGTAGAGTGCGTGAATCCGCGGTGTCCGGCCAAGAAGCTGAAGTATACGACACGAGGGAGAGATGCTGCCGCTGCTTCCAACATTGCGCTCTCTGGCGCATCGATAATTCTGTCGTCGGACCACACGGCGCTCCCCTGCTTCCGGCGCAACTCTAATAACACAAGGTACAGCCTTGCTACTCTGCCCACAGCCGCGGCACCAGAATTGGTTCCTCCCGGCTCCATTCGGAATGAATGAATATGGGTAAGGAGGATTTATTTTTTTTCCCTCGCAACTGGCTTTTAACCCACATGCTCACTTTGTCTGGTTTTGTTGCAGCACGCCCCATAT